CGGTCCTTTGATAAGTTCTGGGTTCAGCACCTTCTGCCACCTGTGCTGACACTGCACATCCGTGCGATTCTGCTGGTCATAGAGAAGGAGTATTATTTTATCCAAGTTACAAAAATATTGGTGCTCACAGAGAAAGAGCAGAAACAAAAATATCCTGGTTTGTCACCAGTCTGCCACAAGACTGTGTTGCCAAATGCTGTTTATGTTTACTACTCTGTCTCTGTGCCTGTGTGTATTTGTGCATATGTGTGTGCAGCCACAGGCCTGCTACTTACAGTTAATAAGCTTGCAATGAGTTTCCAGTCTTCTGATCCATGAACCTCAACAAGTTTTTTCAACTTCTCATCCTGAAAAAGACAATGCATGTTATAGTTTGTCAGATATTTAATATAAGTCCCTGCAATCAGTATCATAAAATGAGCATAATAGTCTGTGAGTGTGGTTAGACAGACAATACAAAGGTGCCCAGATACCTGGGAAGTGATCATTTCTCAGGAAATTTCTGCAGATGAGGGAAGACTTATGACTTAAACAAAAAAGTTTTCAATTGTTTAGGCCAGTAAGCGTACCTCTTCTCGTGTCCAGCGTGTTTTACCAAGGTGGCGTTTCCCTGCCTTGGCAAGTGCTCCATCATAATCATGTTCATACATCTCAGTCTCCTCATCATCCTCCTCACTGCTGTAAACACTGCAGACACAGACAGACAGCAAGAGAAAGAGAAATTTAAAAAAAAAGGTGGCGGCTGTGTGGAAAAGAAGTGCAAGATAATAGAAAGGCAAATAATAGCACAATAAGTACCTGTCTATTCCCAAACTACTCCCTAATCTTCTCTTTACTGAGCACATAAAGAACTCGGCCTACTCTTTAACTCATCAGGTGTCAACACAGACAGAACCAGTCATTCTTGAAGTTTTGGGTACAGGCATTTAGCCAAGACACCCACAGGGGGAAAGAGAGAGAGAGAGAGAGAGAGAGAGAGAGAGAGAGAGAGAGAAGAAGAAGAAGAAGAAGAACAGCAAGTGAGAGGGAGGGGGATGGATGAACAGGTTCCAGTGTTTTTGGTTTCCACAGATACTGGGATTGGCAGATGTGATCATAATTTCATGACCCTGACATGTTCAGACCTGCAGTGGCATTGTGCAGTACAGCCATGCATGCACGCACACACACACACACACATCAACACCCAGTGGCTTTTTAACCAGTCAGAATAAAGAGCATGGATAATGTGGAAGCTAGGTAGGGTACTTTGTTGTCATAGAGTGCAGCAGGTGAACAGGAACCCCACTGAGGTGTGTGTGTGTGTGCTTGTAGAAGAGGATGTTTATTGTTAATATTCAACTTTACATTTTGTCCACTTACTCAAATGCATGACTACCTGATGAACACCACTGACCATATGGAGAAATACAAAGAAAACTAACATATTGTACACATTTATGTTTAAAGCAAGGAAGCTTAAAAATATTAATGTAGGTCAAAGTCTCCCATTTTAACACACATACATGCTTCATGTATTTTAGAACAATAAAAAAAACTCTAAAACATGCAAACAGAAGAAGGTGAATGCAACATACTCAGCTCATGTTGAGAATGATGAATCAACTGAAAACTGCACCATGAAACATTTCAATTGGTGATCACTGCTATTTTGTCAACCAGGTTTCTTTTCAGGTTATCTGTGTCAAACCATGAGAATAAACCAATAACCCGCATTGAAAGTTGCCAAACAAGCTTAAAGTCTGTAACCAGATGCATTTCAGAGAAAGGTCGATGCCCATCAATAAAGTGTACAAAACGATAAGTTGGTCAGAACGAGTGAGGATTCACTGTGTGGCGATTTGGTATCAAAACAAATAAAATACAAAAATGAAGCCGCGTCTCGAAACAAGTGCACAGGACGCTGTAAAAACCAGTTTCCAAAATAACAGTGGGCGCCCCTCGCTTTCAGAGATGCTGCGGCAACGTTCACGGACACGTTTCATCGAGGCGGGTTTAAAATGACCTTTATGCCACCTAGATTTTTATGTCAAATCTTATAGTTAAACAAACGTGCAAAGCATCTGTCTCTGTGTGTCTAAAGGGCGATGATCACTAGAAAAACCAAAAGACAATGACAAAAATATTTTCAAACCCTTCATAAACCAAATTTAGGATATGAAATTACTTCTTGCAGCACACTCACGTCTCTGTGGACAGAGGCAGATATACGTAACGGTGCATACTCTTTGATTTTGTATTTATTACAGGCTCCTATTAAAACCAATGTCCATGCGTGGCACACGCCTGTCCATCCGCTTAATGTTATTAACCCGCGCGTGTGTAAGGGACACAGACGCTTACAAAGAGCGAGAGCCCCCTTTCTGTCTCACCACTGACAGCAGCGCGAGGAGCGCACATGCCAGATGACCACCTGTCATGGGCGCGCGAGCGAGACACCCACCCCACTACGGAGCTTGAACGGACGAGAAAACATAACGGCTCACACAGAAAGAGCACAAAAATAGCAATAGTTGACAACAAAAAACATCAAGTCTGTCAGTGAGGTGCACCCTGAACATCTCAAGCTCAAGTTGCATTTAACAGAAATGATCGTTAACACAACAAGAAAAACTAACTATGTCTAATACGCATATAGGAAAAAATATGAACGCTATAAAGTAGTAGATCTGCTGATCTTACCTGTTTCTCGGCCGCCGAGCCATGTGAAAGTATGTAGAGCGGCTCGCAGGTTGCGCTGAGCACGTACTTTCGCTATCTCCGCAGAGTTTCTTCTCCCGGTGAGGAGTAGGTTGACATTAATTTAAACTACAGCAGCCTCTACTACTGCTCCTCCCTCCCCATAGATCCCGGCACATTTGGCGCTCTGAACGCGTGCGGCCCACTGCGCATGTGCAATAAAGTATAGTTTATCACCATCCGACGTCTTACAATGACTTTTTAAGAGAACAAGAGAAAATTTAAACCTTTGGTTCACATATAAGAAAGCGAATACAAATGCTTTCCTTGGAAACACATCAACCTGTACCTTTTTAGGTGGAAAAGAACCTGTAGAGTACCATCTAAACCAAAATCGATTTGATCCTGCTTAGCATGATGTACACCATACAATTATATATATATGTCATCATGAAAGGTGGCTTGATTTTATGTTAGAAATGAAAAATGGTCAATTGGGTGATAATTGGATAATATAGATAGGTCTTTGGATAACACTGTAGTCTTTAGGGTTACTGTGGGCCAACTTGATGCTTTTAAATTTACGAGGCGTTCCTGAATGCACCGGGCCACAACACAGTAGACTTGTCAAAGGCGCGTTTTGGCTGGCAGTGCGCGCTAAATGCGTTTTGTCAACAATTTTCGTGAGTTACTTCTCTTCTGCTGAAAAGGAGAAGGAAACCAATGCATCTGGACGAAGTAAACAATTGCAGAATGGTTTCTGGCATGCGAGGAAAGAAAAGTTGCAATGCTTTGTTTGTAGAGGGCCAGCTGGTGTTAAAGATACAGATGTTTCTCCGTGATAAAACATGGGCCGTCTTATCGTTTGGTGATAAAGTGAGCTTTTGTCCTCGCCTAAGATAGTTAAAGAAATGCAGCGAGACTTCATCTTGTGGGAATTTATTGCTCATAGGACAACTGCCTTTATGTTCTCCCAGTTGTTCCTCACATAATCTTACTAGCTCTTAATCGGCAGCATGCTGATAACCTTTGACTTTGGTTCAGTATAATCCACATCTACAGTAAACCAGGATCAAGTTGAGGGTGCTTTTCAGCAACCATATTTTTGATTTTTTGATTTGATTTATTCTTTCAAACATGCAGAACAAATGACATCAACACACACATAATTATACAAATCCAACCAATGCTGATTCAGAATCAGTTTGCTTATACCTAGTACATGTTTGAATGGAGTAGGAAGAAGTCAGACTTATCCAGTCCTACCCCATAACATCAACATTTTAAGGATGAGGAATAACAATGCTCCTTTTAGTTGTATTACATAACCTCTGCACTGTCCTGTACTAAGGGCCCACCATGAATGTATTATGATTATTTTGTTTTGGCTGAGTTCTCAACCCTCCCTGCACCAGAGCTGCCGTCACTCAACCATTCATTGCAAAGAGGAGGATTTTTAATGCTTTATTTGTATAAATGTGTCTTCTCGTTGTATTAGTTCCTCCATACACGACCATATTGTCCTGGTCACTTGTAATTATCATCACCTAAACCAGGCTATTGTCCCTCAGTAGTCATCATAATAGTTGGCTGATAAAAGGCTACACACACACACACACACACACAGCCTGGACTGCAAATTTCACTGTTTGATGCTACATGGTAGACAGAGTGCTCAGTGAAGTAAAGCACTATGTGAATGCAGAGAATGTGAAGATGTACAAGACTGGACAGGGATTAAATGAAGTGCAGCATGAAATCATTATCTGTGTATAATTCTTACAGTCTAATAACTTTGGTTCAATTGTTTTGTAACATTACAAATGTTGGTGTTTACTTTAAATGCCAAAGGGCTACATCAAACTGCAAGCCTACAATATAATGGTTGCCTAGTTGCAATCACCTGAAGATTTCAAATCCAGTACACACCTGTGTACACAAGCATTAGTCACTTTTGCTTGGAGGTGGTGGTACTTCTATTCAAATCCAGTTTTTAATTATATAGCAGCTATTGTGCAGGATTGAAATATAAGATGCTCCGCAAAGAAAGAAAGGTAGGTCAGTAAAAGAGATATGGTACAAAATTCTCTAAAACACCAGATAACATGACAGAAGTTATCATAAAAAGAAACATGTCTTAAGCTGGTTTCTGTGCAAGCCCTAAATGTGTCTTTTCCCTCGAGGGTAATATTAAAAACTATATGTTATCTGAAACTGAATTGAAGGAAGGGAGCCTGAGCATGCAAATTTCCAAATATAGTAGGGTGTGCAGGAAGCCTGAGACCCATTGACTCTTAGCTTAGGACATTTGCATGGGCGCAATTGGACAAGGTAAGAGCAGTCATTGTGATGGCTGGCCCCTTTGCAAAGCATTGTGTGCACAGGTTGGTTCATTTGAATGATGTTTAATGATGGCCCCTGGGCTTGAGATAAATTGTCCCACCAGGCTTTCAAATCCAGTGTTGGGAAGGCCAAACATGAGTATTGTTATTTGTCTATGTGTGTGTGTGTGTCAGAGTGTATGTAAAGGCCTGCACTGGGGAAAAGCTGATCCTAACTCAAACAGGTAATGAATGTTTTCCTCTATGGTTATGTGGTTAAATAAACTAACATGGTAACTGACATGCACTTGGTCTTTGAATTATTATTATTATTGTTATTATTATATAAAACATTACCTCAAACCATTTGCCAACTTTTGGGATGGACTTCACCCCTCATCCACTTGTTTTTGTCTTCTAGGATTTATCTGGTGTCAGATTTACATGCTGTTGTTGACATTTACATTAGTTTGCCTTCACTTGATTCCACTATTACCACCCAGTCACTAGCAACCATTTTTGTGCATCTCCTAGAACTGAATATAATTCATTTACAGAGAAAACATAATGGATGGAAACTATAAAGCTTATTAGTCATTTAAATATATACTTTCTAAAGAATTTAAACAAAGCACCCATCCATCCACTAAGCCACTAATTTTTCTAGCAATCTGCCCATCCATCTGTTTAATCCATCTAATCAGTCCAACATTAATTTTCTGAGAAATCCTCCTTGCCTGCCACAAATTCATTGAACATACTTTTCATGAAATCTGTGGCCACATCAGCAGCACAGATTTGACCAGAGAGTGCGTAAAAAGACATTCAGAGGAAACAAATGTTTAGATCCTGCAGAGGTGTGAAAATTCACACCTCAACCTTGCTGCAGCACAAAGGTATATTTAATTTCACTCTGATATATGAGGTGACATGTTTTCTCTAAATGTGGCTACATAAATAAAGCAGAAAACCTATTTAAAAAATCTATTAATAAAAAGAAACAAGCAACAACAACATCACATAGTGGTATCATTTTGTGTTAAAGACTGTTAATCAGGTCTGTGGTTTTTTGAACTGCAAATTGTTGTGGTAAACAAGGAAAACGTAAGATAAAAACTGCAAACACTATCCTGGTTATTATGAGGCTGTTTCATGCATTATTTTTCACTTAGGCAATATGTTCCATTTCCATTACATATCAGGTGCCTTTTGATGCCTTTGGTTTCAAAATGTCCTAGAAACATTTTAGTGATGCAGAGAAAGAGTTCTCTCCCTGTCACCTGCGTGACCTTGTAAAATGATCATGTTTGTGTCTGTATGCATGAGTTCCATGTGTGCGTGTACACTTGTTTATTTTGACATGTAGATGTGTAACCAAAACTTCAAAACGCAGGAAGTGGAATTTTAGAAGGGAAACCTCCACCCACTCAGAGATGCAAACATGCACGCGCAGACACATATGCATATTCTTAACCAAAGGTTAAACCGTGTGCACAATAAATAATAAACTCCCCTCCTGCTATGAATGATCCCCCTTCTGTTCTTACTAACCTCCATCAATTAATGCTATTCTTCATCAAACTGCCAGTTGGAATATGAGCCACTCATTGTGAAAAGGTCTTCACAGTTACCTAAGCAGACATCTTTCTTTATTCTGCTCTATTTTTAGATTGAGGAGACACACCAAACCTCATATTTCATTTCACCGTGCAGATGTGCAAGTGTATACTTCAACTGTATCACTGGTATCAGATTAGTGTTTGACATTTGCCACTTCTTCTTATTTACCGGAACATGGGCTAAGATCAGGACAACACAATGTATAAAAAAATACACAATAATACACCTGCACATATATTTATGACTATAAAGTTTATAAATATGTAAAAACCCATTCACAGATAAACAAGTGAAACTTGTAACACACAAGCACAACATTTCTTTTCCCTGTGTGGTAGACCAGCTATAGGCTAGGTTTCTTGTACAAAGATAGTTGGAAAAAATGATGTCACTCTTTGGGTGCATGTTTGTGCGAGGTATAGAGTGTGAGCTCAGATGGGCAGGTCTGTAACCATGGGGCATAACCTTTGACAAAAGTGGTTTAGATTTTCACACCCCAAAGATCATAAGTGGGACTGAAGTTGCGTGTGTATTTAATTCAGTGCACTGCTCATGGCCTCCTCATGTTTGTGCACAGAGGAAAGAGCTCTTATTAATCTGTGACACTGTGCTTCTTTTGTTACAGTAATGACATATCATCAATCATAAATTTTAAAGTTTTTTTTTTAAATAAACCTGAACACTGTCTGCATGTAATCTGCAGCCTATATTCACTACCTTTATCATCATCACCACAGCATTCATCTCCATCATCATCATCATCCTCAGGAGGCTTAACCTGCTGGGTTTTCCAGGAACTGATCTAATGGCATATTCAGGCATTAACCTCATTTCTGCTTTGTACAGATATAACGTAGCCTACATCTATTCCAACTGTGACCCCAGTGATTTATGATACAATTATGGTGTACATTTATTTCCCTCTGACTCATTATGATATTAGCTTACGTGCATCCTTTCTTTAGTTGATAAACATCAATTCTGCAAACTTCTACTGGCTGAGAACAGTTTCTATCTGTTAGCGACGTGTACATCGCTCATTTGGGAGCTCTGTCCCCAGGCCAGATGGTTGAACTGCAACAGGAAGTTACGTCCGCGAGGAAAATTATTTTTCCAAGAACAACTTTTTAATTTTTATTTTAATGACTAGTTTGCTGGCGAACTAACAAAATATGCAAATGCGCAAAGTTATACATTTTTGAAAAAAAAATCGATTTAATTGATATATTTTCGAAGTTGCAGAATCAAATTTGAGCTACCTGCTGCCGTATTTTCACACAGTAACAACAACAGCAGCAGCAGCAATGGCAGCCGGGCAGTGGGACACATGTCACAAAAATCTGTGAGCCGGAAAACACTTGTGCTCGGGCCGAGAGGAGATACGTAGTCAAAATGTCTCGGCACAGAAATGTCCGAGGGTACAACTACGATGAAGGTATATAATCTTAAGGAAGCGCTGATAATAGCTTAAACGTCACGACAAGGCCCCAATAAGCTAAACTCGTTAGCCGCCAAGCTAAAATTCACTATTGTTGATTGTAGCTTTAGCAGCTAGCATTAGCTAATGTAGCTGGTACGATAATGTCGCGTCACTTGGCACCAGGCACAAGATAAATTACACATTAATAGGAGTATGTTCTTTTGTATCTAAGCTTTCGGGCTAATGTTATAATGTCAAAATTGATGTGTTAATTACTAATATTGCTGCTAATGTTTACATTTATATACTAAAGTTAACGATAGCTAGTATGCTAATGCTGCCATCCTAACTTGGCATTGTTTTACTAGGAATCTTACAAGATTTTAATTCTGCGCTGCATATATTTCCACCCTCTGACCTTATGCCCATATTAAGCTTAACGTTACCTATATGCAGATCTACAGTCAACGTTACATAATTACAGAAAATGTCCTCACTTACAATGTACTGTTTGTATTGCATTCTGTAAAACTGCTGACAAGGCAGAGACAGCTGTCACAGAAGACTTGACTACAACTGCATTTCTTTAAACGTATATGTTTGTGTAAGTGAGAGGAGAGTAAGCCATGAACTTCAATTATATTTTTCCAGACTTTGAAGATGATGATATATATGGGCAGTCGGTGGATGATGACTACTGTATATCACCAGCAACAGGTTGGTATCAGAGAATGCAGGATTCATGGTGCATTAGCTGCCCTAATGCCACACTATGACAATTTAAAGTGACATTAACAAATATATATGATTGCTTATAAACAGGCAACATTAGTATGTGAGAATTTAGTCTCATGTTTTTGTTTCTCTCAGTAACTTGTTTTTCTTAATTTTAAATAGGATTAATGTGATCAAATGACGACTTATATCATATAGTATTAATCAGACATCACAGGCCCAGACTGAATCTGTGCCCACAGAATTCTGACAATGCCTCTACAGATTTTCCACAGATTTTAAAAATAAGGTAGAAACTCAGAATGTAAGCATGCGTATGCCCCTCCGCCTCCAAGCCATGGATCTGACATTCACATCTACTTCACACGTTGACTGGCTAGTTGCACATGTCTGTCTAGCACATATTTTTTAGTACAGAACAATTTGACACTTCTCATGTCAACCTTCTAGAGCTGTTAAAATGTTAATGTCTCCTGATGAGATTGTCTGAAAAGGTGCCCCATTATCTCAACCCCCTTCTCTTTTTTTATGCAGTGGTCGGTCAGTAGCATGCGTCTAAAGAAATGGAACTTTGTATTTCAGTGGCCACGTGTCCTTAAATCTTATGTTGGTGGAATTTCCAACAAATGTTAACAGTGTCTTGAAATGTTGATAAAATAAAAAATTCTCAGTGTTAAAAGATCATATAAAGTGATATCTGTCAACCTGCTCAAGATTATTTTAGTTGCTTTAATGCATTTTTGTGCTTCCTTTTGCTCAAAAAATAAATGTTAGCTAAATTAATATTTTCTCTGTACATTACAGGCAAAAAATAAATAAATTGTTGATTCCATTTGGGCCTGCTCATCACATTGTTTGTAACTGGGTAATAAGTAAAGATGTGTTTGGTTTATTTAGCGAATCAGTTCATCTACTCACGTCAAGAGAGGCATGCACCAAAGGAGGAACCTTTAGAAGAGGAACAATATGGAGATGAGGATGTGCCTGTGTCTCCTACCATCAGCCACAACCTTGACCCTCTTGATCAAGGTAACATCATCATAAAATCCATACATGTGATGAATGACAGATCTTCCCGACCTTCACCTTTTTTATTTTCTTCAGAAATTTTGCAAACTGAAGATAAAAAGATCTTGACCAGAGGTTTTTTCCCTTGTCTATTTTACTTTATTTAATCTAACATTTTTCTGGATGACAAATAAAATGTCTAAGCTGTGTGTTGTATTTTGTAGCAAAGCTGTATTCCTGTCTGGACCATATGCGGACAGTGCTGGGCGATGCAGTACCAGACTCGGTCCTAACCCAGGCAGCCATGACATATGGATTTGACCCACAGAGGGCCCTGGATGCAGTCCTGTCTGAAGACACTACTAAAACAGCCCCCGTTTCCAGAAACACCAATGCAGAGACGGCATCAGTTGCAAGAGTTAGCCAGGAGAAGGAACCGCTTCCACAGAGAACCAAACAAGAGGCCGTGGCTGAGAAAGGTACACCTGGAGCGGATCAAAATGCACTAGGTTTATTTGTCAGAAGCTGTTGTCTTTGACTGGTCTAACATAGTTTAGCATCTGTATCAGTAATCATAGTCTAACATATGTTAGACAATAATTATTAGTGGCACATATCACCTGTTCAACATTCAGTAGCATTTCAGTATAGTCACTCTTTTTTAAGGTTTTTGAATGTTCCAAATTTTATATTTTTGCTTGCATCCACTGTAGTATGCTCACTTTAATGTAGTCAGGGATATAAATTAATGTAGTCACAATTAAGAAATATGTATAAGTGAAATGGTTAATAGTTGTAGAGGCCGGTGAAGATGTGAGTGTTTGCCAGTTAAGAGGGCTGTAAATACAAAGAGGGAAGCTGTTACTACTTAATCTAAGTTATTAATATAAAATAAGATTCAGATAAACACAAGAACTGGATTGTTACATAATGAGCTGGTTTGTTATTGAGATAGAGCTCTGTGATATTGGCAACATCTAATACTGTATCACATTTTTGACTGAATGTCTCTGTTCTTTTTGCAGAGCTCATTAGTATTCGGTATATGAAAGCTTAGCAGCAAGGGGCTTTCACTGTTCATTTCACTCTAATATATGGGGTGACATGTTTTAGTCATGCAAATGTTTAACAAAGTGCCTTCTTTCTGTTTTTTCCCCCCTCTCGTTCATGGTATGATTCATCTGGTCCTCCTGCCCCTCCTCTTCGACAACTTTCAATTGGCTTTTGTAAGGTAAGGAGCCTGCTTGTGTGCTTGTCACACAGACATTATATCCAAGGCACATAACTCCCAGACCAAACATACACAACCACATGTGCCAGCAAGTGCACCAAACTTGCACGACTTATTTCAACACAAGGCTGACCCAGTCATTAGGAGTTCTGAAAATCAAAACTTAGTTGACACAAAGCGAGGCTTGGGTGCCCCCTTATTAAACGCTCTCACAACAGGACCTAGTTCTCTGTCGTCCATGATGTCTAGTCAGAATAGTCTGTCATTGGGAACTTTGGCATCTTTAAATATGTCCCCAGAATCTCACAACTCATCTGCTTCCTCCCTCCTTTCAGTTTCACTCAGTAGTCTGTCACTAAGCAGCCCTAAATTAACAAATGTAAGCTCTCCTCTTGATGCTCCTCCTGGGTTTGGGGGTCTGTCAGTCTTGCAGAGCAACCCACACTCAAGGGGTTTTGGGACTGGAGGCAGAGCCATAATGGCTGATCCTAAGGGAAGCCCATCATTGGCTGACTTAATCAAGGAACATTCAAATCGCAGCCCAA